ACCTACTTGTATTGTATACCGATCGGCTTATTTAAACACTTCTGGGAATGTTGATTAAAAATCGAGTGATTACAATACACAACACATTATATTAGAGTTGTTTAAAAAGCAAATTTCACCGCCAGACCTGGGTGACATCAAAGCGAAGTGTAAGTATAACTCATTATTGTGTACCACTATTATCATCACCATTCGTTATACACGAAACCGCGCTATTTATCTCGCCAATCAACAGATAAATACAACACAATAATGTAAATCCTTAACCCCAAAAGTGGTTTAAGTATTATATGCTCTGCGGCGCGTTCACGACAACAATTATCGACGAATATATAGTACAATATACATATAGGTATACAAGCATAATGCTATGATATTAGTAGCGGGGATGCGTGTTTGGCCAATAACGGCGAAATACATAGTACTAATCGTATAGTATGTGCGTATACACACAGTGGCCAGCCAAGTACACGATAGGGAGAACACCCCCCGTGTACATCACCCGTTTTTAGTGTATTTATATTGTGTGTATAGCTGATGACGATTTGGCACAAGGCCGGTTGTCTTTTGTTCGTCTACCGAGCAGAGCTGCGGAGTCCTGTGTAAAAGTACCGGTCCGTGTATATTATATTATTATAGTTTTTGTTGTATCGTCTCGTGTCTGTATTTTGTATTTTTTCGTGGCGATAAACACATATAATAATAATAATATACACATATAGAATACAAATACTATAATCCGCCGCGAGCATGCACTCGCCCGCGTATGCTTACCGAGTGGCCATATTATAATATACTTACCAGGTTTTGTGCGTGTGCATTGTCCTATTCAAGTGGGTCCGTGAAAATCGGTTTTATATATTATATACATATTGTATTTATCGGCACACACAAACACACAATGAGGTGAAGAAATCGACGCGACCGCCACCGTTTTGGATAATGCATCTTATTATTCATTATACATATAGTGGAAGGAGCTAAGGAGAAGAGAGACGTGTCTATCCATTCGACACTGTCGGTTCGGCGAAAACTGACCCTTAAAACCGCTATTAAAAAAAGGCGGCGTGTCCTCGTGTACGCAGACCGCTTACTTGTCACCATCCTATATATATATACATACATATTGTCATTATCTTATCCTAGGTCCTATCTGTATAATATGTGTTATAATATATATATATTCCCCCCCCCAAAAAAAAAAAAAAATTCCGCGAAGATAATTACCCGAGAATTCCTTGATATAAAACGGTAAACTGTTTTTTTTTAGTATAATAATATATTATTATGTCTCCACAGACAAAACGGTAAATCTTTAAACTGCGGGTTTAACTACCAGACCCAGATGGGTCGTTGGTGTATTGAATGTATTATATTCTTATTATGTACTTGCAAAATAATCACAAATTAATTTGCTTAGGTCGGTAAAATGTCAACATTATAATGGATAATAACAAAATATTATTACCGAGAAAACTTCACAGCGTGTGTTTTATTTTTAAACTACTAATTAGTGTCGGAGAAAAATGAATCCGCAATGTATAATTGATTCGCCGACTAATCTAAATATTATTACTCGGCGCGGTAATCGAACGAGTTACACACATTAGCCGTAATTTGATATAGCTGCGGGCGTCCGAGTGCTTTAAAGGGTATTCAACCCTTTATAATATTATATTTTGCCCTTCAGAATCCGTACCAGATAGGATCTCGGCCGTATAATAATATATTATACAATAGTCGGGGCAACATCAATAGACACCATATAATAACATAAACGGTAATAAAGCTAATATGTCTGAACGAGGGAGTATTTCGATGGAATTAATCGCTCGGCAAATTTCGTTATTTAAGTATAATATAGTAGAACGAAATATAATTACTACAACTTCATTATCTCGGCTCTTCGTTAACCCAATTATTCCCTTACGTTCTTGCATCACCGCAGAGCTTCAATAGATCCTCGCTTCCTTGGTCTGTTCTGTCGGTTTCTGCGTTCTTTGTCGCCTCAAGTAACTATACTAGTAGTGACTTACTAGTGCTGTATCTAGTGTATTATACAATATTTTAAAATCAACGGTGTTGCATAGACAGTCGTATTGCTAATCGGCCAGGGTGTACACTATTGTAACCCGTGCCGGCCCATTATCGTCGTGCACGAGTCCCCTCTCGGTGGTAACCATTAACCACACCATAACCATTACCGGTAGGTCGGTCGGTCGGTCGCGTTATCGTCATCGTGCGTACTCGACGAGAAAAAGCTTTTAATAGCTTTGATTGAGTGCCACCCTTTGTGACGGGGGTGGTGTGCAGCAGATCGGTTTATTAATATACGGTTAAACACGAGCAGTTGGAATTTGCCGGGGAGGTTGCCCAAAACGACATTGGCTCGTTCCGCCCTATCGGCTGATATTAATTCTGATGCGCCGCGAATTCCGCCGGGGATAACCGCATTGCGCCGTCGAACATAATATATTAAAGCCGGCAACATCATCACGCTCGCTTTTGCACGAGGGTTGTTTTTTAATTCGCCACCCGTCGGAGCAAACAAAGCGAAAAAACAAAAACCGAATCAACGTGGTTTTGATTTAGACCACGAGCAACACCGTCGTTGTACATATATTTTTATTCTGTTGAAATAAACAACGTTTATTTGAAAAACTTACAATCTATACAAAAATAATGTACACTTGAGAGGAAAACTCACATCATATAGAGTCCCCTGTAAACATTATACTTACAATCAGAGTTGCGCAAAATTCTTATTCGAATAAAAATGTATTCGAAAAAAAAAATTGTCTCCCCATATTTACTAGTTTTATACATTTTCTAAATGTAGAACACATTAGATTTATACGACAACTTACTATTTTTAACTTCTCGAAGAAATACTTGCAAACTATTAAAAATTATTTGAATAATTAAACTTGAAATTATTCGAAAAATATTTCATTGGAATACATTTTTTATTGGAATGATTATTTTTGAAATTATTTGAATAATGTGTTGTTAGATGATTATTTAGATAACATTTTATTCGAATGATGCACAACTCTGCTTACAATATGATGTTGTCTTCGGTCAGCCGAAAAACAGGCAGACAATAATTATTTTCCGGTAATTAATAATACATATTAACAGTGCTCGGTATTATGATCAAAGGAATATTGTGCTTTAACAATTATCATGGACACATAGTCGTTGATGGGTGATAAATAAAAAAAACATATTGTACCTATACGTTTAAAATAGTATTTATTATACTTTTCAGTGTACAAGTCAAAACAGTATCTGGCAAATAAAACTAATACACCTAGGTATAGCCTATAGGTACGTTTATTGGAAATTAACGTTTATTTTGGTTTCGATACAGTCAAATAGGTATTTTCATAATATAGTTATTAGAATTTCATAATTTGATCAACCGTGACTCTTTGGTTTTGAAATATTTTTTTAATGACTTTTATAAATATTTAAAAAATTTACTTAAAATCTTTAAAACTATCTGTATTAACATAATCTGTATTTCGTTAGTAATAAAAATCTGCAGTAATACAATATCAATCTTTAGAAAAATATTTAAAACCTTTAATTTTGTTTATGCTACAAATTGTGTAGATAATATAATTTTTTATCAGATATTAACGCGGAGAAAAAGTTATCGAGAAATCGTTGAGTTTTATTTACTCAATTATGTCTTATATTATATATTTCTTTTAATTTTGTCTATGTTTATTATTTTAATAATAAATGTCTTTTTTATAATATAATGATACATGTATATATATATTTATATATGTATTTAAATGTATACCATCTAAATACATTTTTTTTTCTTTTTCTATTGTTAAAGTATAGTTTTCGAAAAAATTTTAAAATGTAGATTTTTAAAACATATACAAATTTTCCTACTGGTACTTAATTTTTAAGGTAATTGATATTGAGAACGGTCATATACATATGTGTAAGTCTATTACATAATAATATAAAAATATACTTCAACTTTTATTTTGAACGTTTCAAACGTCTTTGTTGACATGCGTGTAATTAGTGTGATTTTTTCAAACTTAAACTGACGAAATTGTTCCAACTGTGTTAACGCAGTTAAAAGTCGATAAGATATTGTAATACCTACATCAGATAAGTTAGAAGTTGATATTTTTTATTTTACATACCTACATTTTTTCTTTTGATTTTAATTAAAGTATATCACCGTATTTTGAAAACCAGTTTGTTATGCTTAAATATCTTATTTATACGTAGAAAAATGTTGTATAGTCACGAATAAAACAATTTAAAATTATAAAACGAGCATTGTGTTGTGTTTAAAAATTAATAATTAATTAAATACAGAGTCGGCCGGCGGGCCAAATGAAATTAAAATTTAACGAATTACAATTTAAAAAAAAAAACAAATCGAATAACCCATCAATTGAAATTAATTGAAAAGATAATATTATTCTATTCGATTAATTGCCCAACTGGGTACATAAATAGATATTGAAGTAATAAAAAGTAACGTTAATTTTAAAATTAAGTCAGTACAAAAAAAAAATCAGTATACATTATAAAAAAAAGGTGTCTGCGTACAAAATGTTAGTTAATGTGGCGGCGCGGCGGCACGGCCGGAGGGCGATACAGGCACAAACAGTATGTATGTACTCGTCAAGCGGATGATCCGATGATCGCCGCCAATGAGTACAGCGGACGCCACCGGGCCGGGACGCGCGCCGCGGCCGGGACGGGTAGACGATTGCCGTTGGGATCGCGGCCAACGGGGTGGGTGGCTGGGTGTGTCTGTTACGGCCGGGATGGGCGGAGCGTTAGGCGCGCACCGTACCGGCGGCCGAGGGGAACATGTCGGCGCGCACCCCCGTGTAGGTGGGGTAAAAAATAGTAATAATAATAATAATACTACTACGGCGGTGGCGGACGCGGCCGCTTAAGTGCTCCGACACCGCAAACCGTCTCATCAGTACAACTACCCGACCGGTCCTACGACGTCGACAAAACGCGCACGCCACCGTATGAGTTTTATTTAGCGCCGGCCGACGGTCAACATTGTTGTTAAATCATATACATTTTTTTTCAAAAACGATATTTGAACGCGTCGCACCACATCCCAAAATATGTCGGAGTCACCGCGGATCGACGTGACCGGCGACGACGACGACGACAGGCCCGCATCGACGCAGCCCACGTGCAACGGCGGCGGTGGCGGAAGTGTTGGCGGCGGCAACGGCGATCGCAGCAGCAACGGGTCGCCCGTCAAGTCGGCTGCCCCGTACACGTCTTTTTCCATATCGAGCATACTCAGCAAGGACGCACCGAAAGCGGCGTCCAGGCTGTTCCACCAGCACAAGAACGCCGGTGGCGTGTCGGCGGCCAACGCGCATCACGCCGCAGCCGCCGCCGCATTCGACGTTACCGCACATCTGGCCGCCGCAGCGGACCACGCCATGTTGTCCAGGTGAGAGATGATTATTCATTACAATCAGGCTGTAGGAAACGAGTAAAAAAATCTTTTAATACAAACATAATCTATTATTGAATTTGGACTTTTAAATTTACATCTCGGTACAACTTGTTAACAAATGTACGTTTACAATGACAATTTATGTATTTTGTTAACAATTTTGATAGTTGATAAGTCTAATGAAGTTTGGACTTATTTATACTTGTATTAATTTTTATACTTTGATACTTTTTGCTCATATCAGACAATAATAATTACCATTATACACTTAATTGAGGTATAAACGCAGTTACCATTGCCTCAACAATGTACCAATTGGGCCTGCAAAGGCGAATTTTTATTTACAGAATAGCTTTTGGGTTTGGTTTAAAGTCCAGGCGTGGGACTTTTAAGTGTGGAATAAACAATAGGTGTTACTATTTTTGTCTCGAAAAATGTTATAAATTGGCTGTACATGTTTAGAAATATTGTATAAGAAAAAATTGTTTGAGTAGAGCCCGCACATTAAAAAATGTAGACAAATTTTATATTTTAAACGGTTATGATTAATTAGTTATAAGTTGTGACGGACCTGGTACCGTATATTTATTACGGGGCGAACAAAGGTAAGGTTAGGTTGTGAAAAAAAGTACTTAAATAACATTTTAAACGCGCAACAACTAATTTCAAATTAATTATTATTAGTCTTGAGATACTATATTTTGATTATATTACTAAAAACAACAACAAAATTGGTCATACTTAAACTCTAATAACGGCGCGTAGAAATGGTATTTTGAAACAAAACGAAATTGGTATTATCAAAATCCGATTACTCTATTACACATTGATACGTTCCTATTTAGTTGTTTTATTAAATAATTATTATTATTATTAAATTTACCTACATGAGTATAGCATAACTATTGGTTTAAATATTACCAAATTACAAATAATATTTTCTACATCAAGGCGTCGACATAGAAAAAACAGGGTAATTTTATTATTGGGATGTGGACTGATAATATTGACAATAGACCCAACTTCATCAACTAATCTAATTTACAATTTTTTTTTACATATATTTTAGCCGCCGGTAGTTGTTTAATTTTTAATTTACCATCCATTTTGATTACCTGCGGATGTTTTATAAATTAAGTATTTAATATTTTAATATTGTGTTTAATATAAAACGTTGTGAAGACTTTGAAGCGTGCCCACGGTGGACCGAGTGTATTGTGCAGACTTTGTAATAAGTACACGATAACAGCCATTGATTTAACAAAAACAACCGACGTCGACTTTCTGCCAGCCAAAGAAAACCCATTAAATAAAACGTACGTTTTTTTTATTAAAGTTGGCGTTTTCAATTTTTTTGACGGTATATTTTTATAGAGAATCTCATTCAAGTAATTATACTTTTCAAAAATATTTAGGCAGGCACATAATACCTATACTTTAGCACTAATAATACAATTTATAAAAAAATCATGGTAGTTGTAAAAATTATAATTTTACAGTGAAATACATATTTTTTATTGCTATGTATTTTTCATAGGTAAACGCAAACTCACACAATATAATAATTATAATAATAATAATATTGCCGTCAACAACGTCACAGCGTCGACCCCACGCGAATTCGATTGTCACAAGAGACAATTGAACGCTCAGGGCAAAAATTAAGAATAATAAAACAGCTAAAACGATTTCCCATTCGTCTATTGTGCTAAACGTTCCGATTGTTTTAGCATCCGATAATAGGTATAATAATAATAATAAATACAATTTGTTTTTTATAATACGTTCTTATGCCCACACACATCACACAAACGCGTGTGCGGTACACGACATTTTTTCTCGGGTCTTAACTCTTTTATATTGTAGTCGATTCGCTCCAATTTTAGTTTTTATTATTATTATTATTATTTTTTTTTTAAACGACCCTCTTAATTACTCGAAAAACGTTCTCGAATGCACACTGTTTGTGTACAGCTCAATAGCAGCCGACTATATACCCCGTTGATCACAAAAGGCGATTGAAAACCGACCCCTTTTCTTATGTATACATATATATATATATACACATTATATTGTATATATACAAATAAAAACGCTATTTCGCTGTCTGTCCGATTGATATCCAGTTTCCTTCGTTCTCTCTCTCTCTCTGCGTTTCACCTCCGACCCACCTAACCTACCCACACAACCCCCTTAACGCTCTCTTTCAGCTCGAGAAAACTGTGTTTTTTTTTTCGACCCGGACCGATTTGTTAATTACAATCAGCCGGTGCTCTCAGCTCAGTTGCCACCATGTACAGTATAATAATATTATACTTTGTGTGTGTTCCACTATATAATATAAAGAAGTCCCAGGTTTTTTATTTGCACAACGACCGAGAACGCCCAGAGCGAACCTCCACAGCGCTTGCCGTTCGGACGATTAACTGTTTTGGACAATTAAATTAAAAAATTAAAAACCAAAAAACCGTCCGGAATACTATTTTCTTCAATAGTTATTTTAGTTTATAAAAATATTATGTGTCTGTCGCTTGCCCGATTCGGATTTAACGGGTTTCGTTAAAATTATACCGCCAAATGCGAAAAATAAATAAAATAAACATAATAATCTACTTAATATCGTTATCGCGTGTGTTGTCGGAAGTACATACTTAAGTACGCGTTGTATAATTGTATTAAAAAAAAAAATAGTGTATAAGCCGATCGGTGTAACCAGATTGATTTGTTTTCGAGAGTGTGTAACCTAAATAGCGCGAGTTAAACCAATTTAAATGTGCCTGATTTGATATACATATATGTCTTGTATACACGTTGTACAACTTCACGGCGGAAGTGAAATAAGTTAAGCATCCTCCCAATAATGTTTTCTTAAATATTTCTCTGAATGGATACTTATCCCACAAACTCAAACAAACCGACATTAGAACGCAAAGTGTCCTGTCAACAACGACGGCGTAGGAAGGCCACGTTAAAAAAAAAATCAATATTCAATCTTTTATTTTTAGTTTTTTACACATTTTTAAACCAAATAAATAGTAACACGAAATTTCCACATAAATAAACGCACCCGGTTTGCAATTAACACGAAACTTTATTTTTTTTATCAAAACTTTTTTTGAACAACAAATTGTCAGAGTACGTTTGAAGACCGACTAATTAAACGTGCTTGGAGTTTCATTAACAAAATATGGTGTACACAAACACGGATTAGGTTATAACTCATAACCGATCCATTTGGTATGAACATATATTTTTTAAAAAAAGGCCTCTGCTTTTATGTATAAATGTATTTTTTACGTACAATAGTTTTACCAAAATCATAAACGCTTGTGAAAAAGTTTGACCTTTTTTTTCATCAGTGAGTATATTGTGAGTAGTATATGCATAGATCATTATCGGTTGTAGATCCACGCGATAAAAGAAACCGACGGATTAAGGAAATAATAGCACCTGCCAATTACCTATTATTATTATTGGCGACATTAGTGTAACAATTCGAATTCGGGTTCTATGAAGTGTACCACAATAGGTGTCGCCCTGTGCTATTCTTAGAGGTGCTTAGACGTAAAAAAAAAAAAAAACGATTCGCGAGTTTATCTAAAGGTCTATCTCAAAGGGGCCGTTCTTAGAACGCTGGTACGTTTAGTCACAACGGATAGGGATTATCCTTTAAAAGAAAAAAACAATTCGGCAATGTAAAATAGATGTTTTTGATTTGAATCCGTTTCAATCGGGAGCTGGGCATTGTTCAAACAAACCGCACATAATATTTTATTGCACTCATTTTGTTCTTGATTATATAGACGAGCGTGCAAAAAGCAAATAATATAATTATTATACCTATCGTATGGCGCTAATCATTACATTTTGCACGGTGTTAACGCGAAAAATAGAGGAATAAGGGCCGCCGGTGAGGTACGGTATGGCTATATAAGAGCTATAACGAGATTGGCGGGGGAGGAGGGGAGGGGCGCAATCATAACTATCAATTATGGCTAATGCATTGTATTTATATATATATATATAGAGAGAGAGTTGAGCTTCGGACGCGCCCGATATAATTATTATTATTATCGTGTAAAGCGGGCGACGGCGGCCATTTTTGACGGCGATAAATTGGCCGGCGTCGGGGATGTGAAGGGGTGGGGGTGGTTTTCGAGAGAGCAACACACTATATACATATATATATAATATAACCTCCCCTTTGGCCGTCCGCTACACGACGGTTAAGGGCGCGGCGATGGGAATTTGCAGTCGATAATTCGCTTCCCCTCCCCTCCCCTCACCCCGACACGTACACAGATCGGTCGGCCAATCGAATTACGAGTGGGACACACACACACACATGTATACAATATAGTACACAATAGCAACACCACCAGTTATATATATATATATGTATATATAGGTATAGTATAAGTATACCGGTATATTACACTATTGCAGTGTAACCGTAAACCCTAATCCTACCTATATTATATATATATTATTATAATATGTGATGCGCCCGTAGGTGACAATAATTTTCCAGCTAATGATTAAAAAATAATCGACTCTTAGCCCACGCCAAGGGTAATTATTGGATTTCCAGTAAAAAGAAAAAAAAAATTAAAATCCGTTCAACAGAAGTGTCAAAAAATGATGTTTCCGTCGAGTCATTTTTTTTTTTTTACCTTATTGTTGTTTTGTGCAAACAAGGTTACTTATGGGTTATGTTAAGTGTTTATTTGTACCAAAGTTCAAATAAATTAATTGTAAAACGGTTAGCATAAGTAAGATACTTACAACAAAATCGATACTGATATCGTATAGTAAAACCAAATGTCACAACTTAGAGGCAATAATTCAGAAGTAAAACTTATTCGCCTAGAGGATTTTAATAATGTGTTGTTAAACAGTTATAATATTATGGATTTTATCATTTCTAAATTTTCTAATGTATATCACTTGGTGTACCTATAGCCTCCTTATAGAAAGGTAATTATTATGTTTCTTCTGACTGCGGTATTTATTTAATTATGGTTAGATTTGCTAGCTAAATATACACTGCTTACGCGGTGCCCGCTTTTTACCGAGGAAATAATTTTAACGAATGAGTGCATAATACTCGAGCGCGGTAACCATAAACCATAAAATATTATGTAATATTACCACCAAAGGCTGCCAGTTGAATATGTATAAACGGGAGAACGGTAATTAGGATAAGCACAGGAGAACCGTATTGTATGTATAATAAGAGACCGGCAGAAACGATGACGGTTTAAATGCTTTTAACGGTTAGTATGCTTTGCGCTGGAAAACGTCTCCTTCTCTCTCTCAAGTCGGTTGTTTAATGTTCTCCGGCCGAAAGTTTATAACGTTCACGACCGCCCCATTATCGAACGATTAAATATTAATTTCGAACTTAACTCCTAGGGGTTTTCAATAAAGTTTCAACACACATGCGTGCGAGCCGACAAATAAGAGATGGGTAGACGAACTTAACCGGCGAATGGCGTAAGTATGTATACAGACGACTATTAGCGAACACATACTTAGGTATAGGTGGGACGAATGCGGGCGTACCGTTCAAAGTGATAAATATAGCAGACAGAACTTTGTTTAAACTCTCCGAGCTGGTTCGATATGTAATATTAGTAACAAATTGGTGCAAAATTATTTTATGGGGCCTATTCATGGTTAAACGGCATGATTAAGCGTTACTTTGAGGCCTCAGGGACAGTGAATCTGGACGACTAGATAAATATTATGAAAATAAAACGTATTCTAACTGAAAACACTATGATATAAGTGCCTTTAGTTTTAGTTATACAAAAGTTATATTAATAAAATTAAATAATGGAATGGATGATTTTTAACTGACCATTTATTGTTTATACCACAAAAGTTAAATTAAATAAATTAAAAATAAAATTATTAAGCATTTGAAGATGCAATCTTTTTTTTTTTAGATACGCATTACTTGAATTTAATTTTTACATCAAATTAAAAAAATTAGATAATAAAGTAGATAAAATAATAAGTCATAAGAAAATAATAAGAATACGGATAAGTAGATTCGTTCGCCTGAAGAATAAAAATATTATACAGGGTAAAAAATGTATCTATCTGTTGCTTGGTGACGACCGCTAGAAATTACATACCTAGATTGAATTTACATTATCATAATAATTATTTCACAGTCTATTCTAATTCACAGTTAAATATAACAGTGATGCCTTATTAGTGTTATTGGCCATCCAGCCGCAGGACCCTTACAAGCGCGGGGTTCTGTGCGTGGGCACCGCCTTCAAGCCGGCCCTGCCTAGTCTTTGGCGGAACTATGATTTCGACTAACATGAGATAGTATGAGATAAAAAAATATATGAACTATTTATACGGTATGATATCATTGTGGAATGCATTTCAACATCAGTTAGGTTAAGTTAAGTTGAAGAAATGGAAGTCCTAAAACAATGTGCAAATAATTGTTTTAATTAACTGTTTCTCTTGGAACCTAATCCGAATACAAACATAATGTATATGTCTTAACGTGATAGAGCTCGATCAGCTACTATCTTATTATTATCATAATAATTTACCATTCATTAACAAGTATTTTTTATTTTTGTGTCATACAGATTGGGTCTGATGAGCCACTTCGGTGCATTGGCCGCTGCCGCTTCCGGTCGAAGTCCTTTCATGCTTTACCCTGGCGTAGGGATCGCTGGCACCGGCAGCAACCCTTTGGACAAGCACTGGTATTCCGCGTGGTCGCAACCCCTGTCTGCAGCCATAAGTCCTAACGGTGAGTGTGCCCGTATATCCCTAATATATTCAAATATATTTTTTCATACTACCATACTACATTTAAAAAATAGCTAATTGTAAAATGGCAAAAAAAAAATGAGAAACCTCATTTCTTGAAAATTTGAATAAAACCATAATGTTATATTATAATATTCGATTCGACGAATAACAGATTACTTTTTTTATTTGTGAAACTAGAAATATGAAAAATAATTTATACATGTTGTATTATTTGAGGCGAATTTCAAGGAAAAGCCAATTATAGTTTTTAAATGACAATTCCAAAAAAAAATCATGTCTGCCGTTTAGTGGATCAATATTTTTTAGGTTTGCGTCAATTTGGTTTTGGAATATTACATTATTCCTAAATGTTTAATGCAGTAAAATCGAATTCATTTTTTGCGAATTAAGCTTTATATTGTACATAATATATATTATCTTAAATTATTTTTGATTTAAAATACTTAATAAATAAAAAAAATTTTATGTCTTTTTACAATAAAACAATTACATAAAAAAATTATTTCAACATATTTATCTATAAATTATCTACACACAAGAATTTTACAAATTCTTCGAACAAATAAAAAAACATTTTGCGCAACGAATTAATGTGTGATGAATAACCGAAAAGTAAATGATTATTTTTTTAAATGATCACTTTATTTTTAGATAAAAATGTATTCGAATAATGCCCAACAAAATATAATTGTATTATATATGTGTGTGTGTAATAGACCACTCTGACGACCCTTAAAACGTTTAAACACAGTACGCAGCCGACAATAGTTTACACACGATATCCGTGCCGGACACTCGACCGACACGAGATATATTTATGTACAAATTTATATTTATATATACACACACATTATATAGATAGTCCAGTAAATAACAAGCACTACACGGCTACGGCTAAATCGTCGTCGACCGAAAGGCTTCACCGACGAGGGCTCATTTGCATTATATTGTTTTTTAAGTTTTCAACGGCTTCGCTTAAACTGGCGCTTAAACGGCTTCGCACAGTATTATCGTACGAGACAATCATATTTTCAATCGCTCTGTTGTTTCAGCGAGCGGATTTATCAATACAAAATTATTCAACATTTTAACATATAAGAGATTAGGGGAAACAATTAATTATCCGTAAATAACGAATGATTTCAAATGGATAAACCTTAACAAATAAATTTGTGATAATAATTAGCAAATAAATGTTAGTTTTTTATTATCAGTTTATCTAGATAAATACAAATAATTGTGGCACCCCGCCTAATATTTTTAAGTGAAGCAAGGTCTAAAAGCAAACTTCACAACGCCCACTCTCAAACCATTTTACAATACCTTATAGGCTATTATTAGCTAATAGCATTGATTTTCTTGTAATATTATATGAAGCACGTGTATACACGGGGTATGTGTAATGTTTTATTTATCGTAAAGGAATCCCGTTTTGAGTGTAGGTCAAATTACCAAATGAATTTTTAGCTATTCAATGTGCGCGGAAGTGTATATAACGTTCAGTTATAGATTTCGGATTTATGTCATATTATTGTTGTCGACATACTTACTCTCGACTAGCGAAACTAATGAATTATTATTATTATAATAGAAGGCACATGATATTTTTTAATTCCCACATTCACTTGTAACCAAGGGTCCGGATAAAGTTACAGAAATTATTCCGCAGTAAAAATATTTTACTCTTTTATTTGTACCGGAACAAATAGGTTCGCGAGTCCTAGAAAAAAAACTTTATTGCTCCGGAACAAATATCGAATAGGAACTTTTTAAGAACAATATCCGAACCTTGCTTGTAACTGTACAATATACCCTTCGGGCCGTAGCATTTAGGCTTCTCTTGTATATACTTACTAATTTACTATAGGTTCTTATAAACATATTATTACTATATTCTAATTGTATTATGTTATCGTTTTAACAGGTGGTTCGAGTTCTGCTAACGAAGAAAACAGTCGTCCAAGTACACCTCACAGCGTGGGTGTCAACACGGGTGGCACTTCTTCGGTGGCCGGTCACAGTCCTGGCGGTTGGTCGACCGGCGAAGACGGCGGCGGTGTGCCTGGATCGCCGAACCATCATCGGTCCAACGGCGGCCGGTTTATGAGCGGTTGTGGCGGCGGCGGCGGCAGCGGAGGAATGCGGTACATCGATCATTCCGTGGGCGGCGACGAAGACGACGACGTCATGGACGACGGGCCGGAAGACGATTGCGGAGGTGACGGCGACGGCAAGAAAGACCACGGCGGTAGCTGCGGCGGCAGCGGTGGCAAACGGAAAAAAAAGACCAGAACAGTGTTCTCGCGAAGCCAAGTGTTCCAGTTGGAGTCGACATTCGACATCAAACGGTACTTGTCGAGTTCGGAGCGCGCCGGGCTGGCCGCGTCTTTGCACCTGACCGAGACCCAAGTGAAAATATGGTTCCAGAACCGGCGGAACAAGTGGAAGCGCCAAGTGGCCGCCGAGATCGAAGCGGCCAACATGGCGCACGCCGCCCAACGTCTGGTCCGCGTACCCATCCTTTACCACGAGTCCAACCAGCAGACGTCTTCAGCGGCCGCGGCGGCGCACCATCACCACATGGCCACGTCGGCCGGCGGCGCGCCGACTCCGCCGCACACTTCCGCCTCGACTCAAGCGTCCGCGTATCCGCCGCCGCCCTCGTTGTTCTATCACCATCAGCCGCCGCCTACTTCACAGCCGCCGTCGTCGCAACACCATATCCACGGCATCGGTGTCTCCAGCACGTCCACAATCACGCACGCCATGTCCACAAGTCCCGTGATGTCCAGGGCGCCCCTGCCCGGACTGGTTTAGCGCCGTCGCGTCGTCCACAGTGTTCACTCAACCGCAATATCCGCCAATGTACATTATCTAACAGTATTACAGTCATAAGCTATTAAAGTTATAATGTGTCAACTCACACCAAAACGATAATAATACTTTGTCACTTGGTGAAGTTTTTCACTTAAGTGTTTGATAATATATACAAAAAGCAGCTTTCGTGGCATTCTAGGTTATAATATCTTGAAAACTATAGATACTGATATAAATTATGTACAATACTTTCATTGTATATTATATTATTATGTGTATAGTATTTATTAAATAAAAAAAAATTTATTTGTTTTGTATTTTTTTTTTCAAAGTTACCATGTGTTTTGCCAGTGTAGCAATTAAACCGTTATATGTATTTTTTATTATTATTTGATCTAAATTTTTTTTATTAGTTATTTATATATTATTTAATTGTCTGTCAATATACATTATTTCTTTACACGAAATTAGTAGCGATATATTATAGCCTAATTCCGATTATAAAAAACTCAGTGCGGATAGTCTAAATGCGCTTAGTACTAATTTTATTCTATATAACATATTATAATAAAAATAACGACATGATATAAATAAAACAAAAACATTATACATAAAAAATTTTAAAAAATGCATTTACTTTTATACTTACTTGCTATAAACTGTTCCTGTCCAAGGTGATTGCCTACTTTGTGTGAATGCATTTTGAGTGTTGTGGCCGTAGTTAAGTCTTTGTATTTCGGTTATTGGTCAACAGTCGTTCGCGGTGCCAACCCGTTAGACAAAAAAAAACAGATAGGCAGTTATGGTCGTTAAACGTGAACAAAAAAACAGGGACTGATAAAAAGCAAACATGATCATGTTTTAAATAAACAAACGCGGCCAGCAAGTATACACATATGCGATACCAGTGCGGGTTATTATTCTCTTTTCGCTAATCGTTCGGGTCCATTGTGAACGGGCATCCGTGCGCAAAAGTGAAACGACCGAATGAAAGGATTTTTAGTGTGCATGTAAAAAAAATAATAATAATAATAATGAAGTCTTTTTACCTATCGTCGTCGGGTGTCACGTTTCCACGAGGCTTCTGCTTAACCCAGCCACGTTTACGGTACAACGGGCAAATTAGTTCCAGAGCGTGTGTATGTGTAGAACCTATATAAATATTGTCTCCTTTCAACTTATTTTTAGCGGTTTTGTACTTAAGCGGTTATAGTTGTTAATCGTTCACGCAAAGACAACGAAAACGGTTAAAATATAATAAGTAAGTACAACATAATAATGTTATACTTACTCGGCCATCACATATCTGTCTAGAACAAGACCGGCTACGATAAAATTTGAAAAAACTTACCAAAAACTTTACGGTTTACGACTTATGTTATGGCATACATCTGATTAGGTTAAGTTAGACTTCAAAATGTGTTGAGTTAATTGGGCAGGCACGTACATTAGGTACATGTTATGTATTATTATATTATCTAACGGTAAGGGAGTAGGTTTTTTTTTTAAATCTTTGCGCGAAAAACGTCAGTCGAACTGTGCGACCGACAATTTAAAAAAAAAATCACCGGCAAATAATTATTATCGTGTGTAAAACGTGGCGAATAAAATAGGCGTTATCGCGTTAAGCAAAAAACTACCCTACCGAGTCAAACAATGCGGTCGACGCCGAGTTGATTATATTTGTGTGGCCACCCCTTTTTCTTTTAAATTGTATTTTCCACCGGTATCGTTATAACTTTTTCGCGTCAAGTCCGGACGCGCCAGCTGAGATAATAACGATTTGCAGAGGTTTATGTAATAATAATTATTTCCTGTGTGTGTTCCCAACCCCGCTATACAGTATTAATGGTTACAGTCAAATGTACAGGCGGCGCACGCCTACTATTACATAATGACAATATAACAAACGGCTATCAAACAAAACTCTTTTTCGCGCATAATGTATAATTATCGTTGTTGTTTGTTGTTTGTCGTTGTCGACGCGGGGTGCGCTGTGGGCGGACAAGAAAATCGCCGGTTCTTTTGTGATGATTACAGAAATGAAAAGAAAATAATATTTTCAAAAAAATCCGTTCCGGTTAGACCGGCAAAACCTATTATGACGACGCGCCAAAACGAGGCCGGCCCGGGCAAGAGTTATATAATGCCAAGGGGTGGAAATCGACTCGCAGTTATTTATATGGGGGGGGGGGTTGGTTTGTTTTTTTTTTTTGTTCATAGCAAATATGTTTTTGCCGGACTTTACGCGAAAAGGCTTCAAACGTCGACTAATTTTTTTGTTCTGCGTTTGTAACGTTAATGAACAAACGACGCCGGAAGGGTGGATTGGACTTTTTTTTATTTTTTAATTTCGCAGCCACGAGGAATAGAAGGAAACCCGATGTAGGGGTGGGGGTGTGGAGTTTAGGTGGTTTCGGGCTAAATCTCTTTTTGTTCACTACCCTTAAATTATTATACTCATACCGTGGCCGCATGTGAGTGCTATCGCTATGTGTATGTATAGTTTTTTTTATCATTGCCGCTTATAACGACACTGGACCGGATACCGCGGTCGAGTTCACCCTAGCGGTGTTTTTTATACAGGAAAAAATTAAAGAACTTTAAGTGACGCGTCGTGTGCGGTCTCTTATCCGAACAAAACAAAAATATATATATTAAGTGTTGTCCGACACGGTTAATATGTATATATTATGTATTAAGTAGCTAAGTTGTCCAAGGGGTTTGTGAGAAGCCCCTCTCTAATTGTTAGGTTGGATTATAATAAAAGAGCACAACAAACTGGTAATCCCGAGCAATAATATGTTCTTTGTTTTCAACGACACTTAACAAAATATTATTACATTAATTATAATTTTTTTATTTAATATAATTTTATAATAAATCACTGAGTTTAAATTTTCTGTACGGGTTTTTTAAAAGTTATGCTATGATTAGGTATAGTAGTATATTAAGTTATTTCCTAAATATGAGAAATTTAAAAGTTATACTTACATTTGTTAAAACAAAAAACCCAAAAGAAATATTAAACTTGTAATATTTGCCGCCAAACTTCATCGAATATATTTAAGTTTTTTTTTATTTTGCGTGGGTAGTTTCGATCGAGTACATTGTACATATTAGATATTATGATAATAATAAATTACCATAGCACAGCTAATAATGTTATGTCATGTGTGTAAACAAGTATAAAACGGCTGTTGGTTTTTTTTCTAAACAAAATATTACTATGATTAAGTGTGTACGGTAAACGCCCATTGGAATAATATGTTTACAATGTAATTTTTGTTTTTGCCGTCGGTCCGTGGACGGTTCCGGTTAGTTAAGATTCCGAAATCCATCGGTTGAGCTTCTGTTCTGGTGTATACATATATAATATATATATTAATAATACTCATACATGATATACATAATACTATTATAATATATTGTGTCGTGGGCAGACGCTCGTGTACATGGAGATAAAAAGTAATAATAATTATACGGTGTAGATGATAATAATTAATAATAATGCGTGCCATCGGTAGCGGCTGGGGGTGGGGGTAGGTGGTAGGGGGTCGGTTTGGTCTGCGCACACTTATATACAATGTTTTTTTTTTTTTTTAGAGTTTATTAATTACCGAATAATTTATGCAACGGAGTTGTTGGTAAATAATTGATGAGGCGCACGCCATGCCGTGAGCCCTTGGTTCGAGGGAACATCCGATAAGACGCGTTTTGTCGGTAATTGATTTAAATTAGGGGTTTCTGGCCGGTAATTCTGTTAATGGCACCCCCCCCCCCCAGCCCCGTGTACAATGTTTGTCGACCTAAAATCTACACGGTAGTCGAGCCGCACTGTATTATGTTCGATAATTATTTAGTTGGACATTTTTTTATTTTTTTTTCAAACGTACACCTACTCCTATCCGTATTATATATGTATATAATATACCAGAAAAGGGTTGTAAGTAATCCGTATAATGTGTCAAATAAACACACTCTGAAATGTAATATAATATTATAATACGTGTTCTTAAAAAAAAAAAAAAATAAACGTATGTTAAGTTTGTAGACAATTTAAAATAGGTTTACCCTGTAGACGGATTAGAAGTATAATTATCATAAAATTTGTCCATAAAAATAACAAATATCAAAGTAGTATTGTCATTACAAACACTGGGTATTTCTTCGTTAAAATACAAGTATATTATATTATTTTGTTCTATTTACATTATTTTTTTTAAATAACTAGAAAGAAACGCGAATAAGTATTAAAAAAAAAAACTACAGAGCGAATTTTAAATAGTTACAAAAGTTCACCGTATATTTAATTTGGTCAAAAATAATATTAACAAGTATTAGTAAGGTAATTCGATTAAAAAAACGACAATAATAAACAAATAAAAAATATCAAAAACGTTAATACTAAAAAAAATTTACAATAAAAATAATATTTAAATAAAAAGTGATAAAAAAAATATAAATATATACAAAAGAAGTGTCTCACAGCTGTGTGTGAAATTAGCTCTGATCATTGAATATGATTTGTCCAATTTTGCTTCCGGGTAAGTATGATATATTCACTAACGGACAGACAAAGGTAGACTGGTAAACGTAGTGCTAGCGGTGGCTTGATGATACCAACAGCTGGAGTCGCGATGCCAAAATCAATTATAGAATTTTCTCGGATCTAGAAATAACTGTATACTAAGATTAGATCAAAACATTTTGGCCGAAGGATTGATAAAAAATGTGATAATAATTACAGCAGCAGCATAAGGAATGTCGACCGAATATGAATAATATACCACAATATTAACAATGGCAGAAAAAAATATTGAAAAAGGTGGTTTCAAAATAATACTGCTATCCTAACTCAAAAGGTAAGTAAGAAAAATAAGTACATTTTTTAGGCGTTTTACTCGATTTTAAAAGGGAAAGGAGTGAAGTTTTTAAACGTTTGTCCTGGTTAAGTAGCTTACAGGTACTACTTTCAAACTATAGAGTTGCTACACAAACAATTTGGTTCAGCGGTATAGAAGATAAAAATAAAAAACACATCCTTGTAAAAACAATACCTTCTTTATTTATGGGCCTCGTTAATCAAAGCCTTCAAAAACGAACTAACGGTGTAAATATTTCCAACAGAAACCATCGAGAATGTGTTAAATATATACAAAAAGTGGATTAATTTTTGCGCTAG